CACTTCCCGCTGTTCCACAAAGATAGTATAGTGTTAGGATCTCATACAGTAAGACAGTTTCGCTTACCACTAACTTTTTAGGAGTCCAGTTCCAATGACAAAACCGTACAATACCATTTGGATGCAATCAAGGCAATATATGTCCATCAGGTTTGCCATTTCTTCTGAGTACCGGTCAACGAGCTCATCTGATTGTGATAAGATAAAAACACTGGCTCATTCACGCGAAGCTAGGCTTACGGCATACCAGTGTTATGCGGATTAGTAGCTCTCACAGCAAATGGATTCATCCCGCCGAAATGTTCTTAGTGAGCTTTTTGCTGTGAAATGTCAAAGTCAATTACCACATTCTTAGCTCCACACAGTTCTTGTCTAGTCGTGATTTTTGCAAAAATGTGAACTGAAACAGCTATGTGGGTGTAAAAATGCGCGATGCCAGCACCAACATTTATCCCTAGCTTTGCTCAAAGACTTTCTTGCTGAACACCATTATCGTACTTCGTGGAAATTCTCGTAGTTTTCATAGTGCGGTTCAACAGGGTTTGGTTGAGTTCCTAATCCAGCGTGAATTCGTTTCGATGGTTATCCAACGGCGCCAGAGAGAATTTCTTCTGGGTGGTCCTGTCATTCTTCTTCACATCATTTCATATTACGCGTCGTTTACACAGATCAGGTGGCAGTATTCTTGAGAGACTGCTAATAGCTATGTTCGATTTCCTTCGACAAATTATCGATAGACACTCTGAGGGAGTTGTGCGAACTCCAAGACTGGGAAGAAAACTACTGGACAATCATTTGGGATAATTTGGCAAGCTCATTTCGAGATGCTCGTGAGTTTGTCGTCGTTTCTTCTCCGATAGTATAAGAACGCTGTCCTTCTTTTATCGAGATAACTTATGATTACGTGCGTATTCTTGAATTTGGACTAGTCCATCAGAAAAATCGGCGACCAGAAATGTATAAGTAATCTGTGGTTATTTTTTTTTCAAGTTCCAAACTTCCTAACTCGTGATTACCACTTCTGGTTCCCCCTTTTCCTTATTTCAAGGGAATTCGAGTTTTGGGCTTTTGACGGTTTTTGTTTGCTTCTTTTTTCATTATTTAGTCCAAACTAGATTACACTTCATTTACAGTTCCTGAGAACTACCATATTCAATCTGGGTGTTGCTTTAAATGTTGAAGGGCAAAAATCAAGAGCATTAGTTTGATGGGGTGATTCCACCCGAATGTTAAAGTAGGGAATGGGAGGTGGACGCGCCAGTGGAGAAAAAAAGGAAATCCTGAAATACACAGGAAATGAGCATTTTGCTCCATGCTGTGGAGAAGTTCAAAAGACAGGCAGGGAGATGAGAGATAATGTGAGCGCGGAGAGTGGTAGAGAAGTCCGAGAAGAGAGAGCATAGCAGATCAACGTGGCGACGCAGACAAGATATCGAACGGTGGGCGGACCATGTTAAGTTTGGTGGAGTCTGTTAGAAGTCCATGGCGCCTAGGGTCCTAGTGACGGGTTTCGATGTAGAAAGGTGGCGCTACCTTTGCACTTGCGTGCCCAGCACTTCTAGCCATGGTAAGGGCTTCTTAGGTGGGTTCTGAGCCCGTTACTTTAGGCCTTTGATACCGTTGTAGCGATTCACCGCGGTTCAGCGGGCAGCGAACTAGTTTCGACTGATGTTTCTGTTATTGTCTATTTCAGCACCAGTTTCTCAAATGAAGCTTGAGGACTTCATTACAGAAGCATTCAATGAAGCTGCTCTTGTTTTTCAGCGTCCTGCTTATAGCGAAAGGTGAAAATGTCGCTCAGAAAGATAGGAATTGGATTGACACTGACAAAAGTGACATATTTTAGATTTTGGGAAGTCGTTGAGAAGGTGGATCGTCGTTAATCAAATTTACGGATACCTACGATTAGTTCAGGATTCCTCATGATCGTTTGCCATGTTTTATTGAATATCATTTCAAGTCGCCCCACAGCATGTTTACTACTTGGTTCCATATTCGCGGCTTTAAACACTGATTCTCAAGAAGATCTAATATATAGAGCGTATTATTAAATTTTAAAAATATTGAATTTCAATAAATGTATTTTTCAAAAATTTGTTTAATAATTGATGCAAATTCTGCACCATTCGGAGTAACGGTAGTCTTGCTTTTCACACGGTTTTCATCGATCTTCGTGTAGGTGCAGAAATTTGATCTAAAGGCAGCGAACGCGATAAACCCAGCGCTTTTGGAAAGCGAAAGATGCAGCTGAAGGTAGAAAAGGATAAAGGATAAAGCATTTGCCGTTTGATCACTTCCTTTGTACATTCGTCAGTGGTTTTGATGCGATGTGGCCTATACAATGATTGCAGCCGATGTACAAGTCAGTGTTTTTATCCTCCCAGACAAGTCTGGTACCAATTAACCGACCCCGGAGGGATGGAAGGCTTGGTTGGCCCGGGCGACTCACGACCCAGGATTTGATCCCCGGACCGCTCGCGTGGTGAGCGTGCCACTTGCCACTACACCACCGCCCAAGGTAATAAAAACCTACATTAATAAGGCGGGGGCTTTTGTTGAAGAGTCGCGTTATGACCGGTGTGAAACGGCGCTGAAACTGGTCTACTGTAGACGTCGAAAGGATGGTAATGGTTTCTGTTTGATGTGATACCGTTGATACCTTATCCGGTTCTTATTCCTAGCCATAAGTGCACTATAAAGGTGAAGATTATGATGAAAAGGCAGATCATCACAATCAAGGGTGAGGTGGTCACTGGCGCTGGGATGGAGAGAATCATGGGAAACGGATCTGAACCTGAAAAATGGGACCCATTCCTTGCCCTTTGATTTCCGCATTGATGCGACTGGCATCGGCTGCTTTCCAACATTAACGCTCTCTCTCTCCGAAAATTCCTCGAAACGAAGCTGTAGCTTTTGTCTTACCGTCTCCTATCTCCTATCAGGAAATGCTCCTCCAAAAAATTTCTGTTCAGTCGTAAGCTCCTCATAACTTGAAATCGAGAAGTTTCGCATTTCATTGGGATATCGAGACTACTGTCTTCATCTTTTAATCCTCAATATGAGAAACTGTCATAGACTACGGCGACCTTGTGCCCAACAGTTACCCTCAACAGGTTACCCGCATTTGGAAGGGGAATTTAGCCCAAAGAGGTGAGGGTATATGTCGTAAGCACGGAGCCACGTTCTGTCACACATCACCGCTTGTCAACTACGAATGCGGTCAGGCCACTGCTCACTTTTTGTGTGGAGAAGAACTCTTGAACGATTACTGCCTTTATTTTCTTTTGAAGGCGGAGTACGATGAAACAACAGCGAGAGGGGTAGCATGCCTCGGCTCGAGCGACGCGGATATGGCTCTGCTTGGAAGCAGACGGTATACCCTTCGCTGCGAAACGCGCATCGCTCCGCACCCATAGGGGCCAACCCGCCTCCCGACTTGGTACATTGCCCTTTCTTCGACCTCCGACCTTATCATCGAATCCTCCTCTCATGGCGAATAGGAAGGGTATTTCAGGATTACATTTACTTGGACCGCTCCCTTCCTACATTTCCGCCCCAAGTAATCACTCAATGGTCAGATACAAGTAATTCGAGTTTGATCCATCCCAGGGTAGTTGACCTGAAAGCTTAGAGTAGCTGCCATTACATTGGCTTCCAAATCGGCTCCTAACAATGTATTTTTTGACGAACCTATAAAGACAGGAGTAAAGCCATGTCAGTGCTCAATTCTTCAGTAACGCACGCGCCACGCACACGGTTTTTGCTCGGAATCACCGAGCGGTTAGAAACACATTTCGCATTTAACATTCGAATCACTGTTCTGTTCTCCCAGACGTCTACTGAATAATCGGTCGACCAAAAAAAGATAACCTGGTTGAAAATCGACTTCAAAAGAAAATAACTGGTACGCGGCAATTCCTGCCAGTTTGAGAAAGAGACAGAGCATGCTCTCTATTCCAAATAGCTACTGTCTTTGATAATGGCTTTTTAAAAACGTTCCACGGTGTTCCCCTCCTATCCTCCACGACCAAACTTCAAATCATTGTGCATTGCCCGCTTGCCCCTGTGAAAGGAACCGGAATTCTAACAGATTTCCGGGTGACCAAATTTTGCGCTACTTCCGGATCGCCTGAGTGTCGATCTATCATCAGTATACAGGGATGGTACCCCTTGGTAGGGCCTGTTGCGGCGGTACGAAATTGGCACAGCTCTTCAACTACCGTTTTTTTTTTCACGGCACATTAATCGAACACAAGCTTTCCAAACGATCGCCTCCTTTGAGAAATTTTCAAGATTTTTTTCTTTGACCTTTTTTACTGATCGCATAAGAGAGAACACTGCAGTCCATCAAACCTCCCAACTTCTCTCTTCGTAGAACCTCGGCATTGATGTTATTATGATGTTATTCTTCTGCCAACGAGGTTGTTAGGTGGAGAATTTTATTAGTGGCCTGACGTTTCGACGAGATCGTCTTCCTCAAAGGCCCAGTCCACCACCGCAAGAGCAGAACAACGCCACTCCGGGTTAGTTATGGTTAGTAACTCTGTTACTAAGAACTTCGAGAATGTCAATGAGTCGCACTTTCGAGCCTACTTATGGTTAGCTATAGAAAATCTTTAAGGGCGGCTTGAGGATATCGTCGCACACGTCGCTTCCAGTTCTTCCGCGTTTTTGTTTGTTTCTCAGAACAAATACAAAAAAGACTAAGAATAGGTCGCAATGGCAAAAAAGGATCGTATAACTTCGCCCATTTGCTTTGTGACGCACCTGCTCCGCTCCCACGTGGCCTGCTATTTGTGGGCAATATATGGCCTACAAATCGCAAGCCACGTGGGAGCAATGGTAAAAAGAGTGTACATATTGAAATAATTTAGAACTAGGCAAGATTGATCGACTGTTTGTGAATCAAAACCGCACAACAAATAAAGATGCGGAAAAATTGGTGCTGGTATTGATAAGCTGAAGACATTACTCGTAAGAAATACACGCCTTAACAACATCTATGAGATTTTACATGGAATTAGCACTGAAGCTTTGATCTTGATCTTTATTAACAATAATAAACAACCTAAAAAAAACTAATATTGTGCTATGCCATGGGTGGTCTACCACAGCCATAATCTCTTCCAACTTCGTCCCGTCGAGCTTGCCTCTTTTACGTCTATTGACTTGTCTAATGAGGCGGCAGCGTCTCCTAGTTCAGTCCGCATCTAAAATGGCTTGAAATGAATGAAATAAGCAACACCTGCGATCTACCCAGATTTGTTAACGGCTGTTTATTCCATTGGCTGCCTTATCACTAGCTTCATTTTGCGGACAGACAGACAGAGATACATATACTCCATATCTCGAAGTCAGATTAGGCGTGTCTACGGATTTGACGTGGCCGTCGCCGCACTTGATAGAAGCCGTGTGGATAAGCTGTTTCTAACATACTCGCTGGATATCAGCAAAGCATGCTGGAAGCAGCTTATCCGCGCAACTTCTATCAAGCGGCAACGGCCACGTCAAATCCATAGCCACGCCTAATCAGACTTCGAGATGTCGACCGTACATACCGACATTTCAGTCAGCGATTTATACAGTCGATATCCGAAAGTTGGGGTAGGTGTGTCACCGGAAGTGACGTGCACTTGATAGAAGTTGCGTGGATAAGCTGTTGCCAGCATGCTTTGCTGATATCCAGCGATGTATGTTGGAAGCAGCTTATCCACATAGCTTCTATCAAGTGCACGTCACTTCCGGTGACACGCCTACCCCAACTCTCGTATATCGAGTATACGTAAAAAGGATCGTTGTGGTAGACATCCGAGAAACTGATCTGGGTGGAGATAACCGTTGGAAACGTGGCTCTCTTATCTGCTCACAAGTCAACTTCTTCAAAACTGTAGAAACGTCAACCCAAGAAAATCGAAAAATAACTTGTGAAAACACATCGATTCAAAAGGATTTTTTCTAATATTTCATCACAAAAATGGGAAATAGCCTGAAAATTGAACACTTCACAGCAAATTTTTGCAGTCTCTTCACTTCGTCTAGGAGAGAAAAAATCCACTCCAATATTTGAATAGTAAACGAAGAAAGTTGTGA